GGAGATCAATGGAGGGGTTGTCTATATGGGTAATGATAATGCCTGTAAGACAACTGAGATAGGTTCAATCCGTTTGAAGAATCGCGATGGTTCCACCAGAGTCTTGACGGATGTTCGGTACGTGCCGAGTTTGAAGAAAAACCTCATCTCATTAGGAGCCTTGGAATCCAAAGACTTGGTAGTGACTTTGCGAGATGGAGTTATGAAGGCTACATTTGGCTCGCTCGTGGTGATGAAAGGCATCAGGAGGAATAATTTGTATTACTATGAAGGTGATACAGTTGTTGGGACAGTAACAATAGCGGATTCCACCAACAAGGAGTCTGAAACAGTCAAGTTGTGGCATATGCGTTTGGGACATGCTGGTGAAAAGTCCTTGCAAACATTGGCAAAACAAGGACTCTTGAAAGATGTCAAAGTGTGCAAACTAGACTTTTGTGAGCACTGTGTTTTGGAAAAGCAGAAGAGAGTGAAGTTTGGAACGGCTATCCATAATACCGAAGGTGTCTTGGATTATGTTCATTCGGATGTTTGGGGACCTTCTAAGACCCCATCATTAGGCGGAAGACGCTATTTTGTCACTTTCATCGATGACTTTTCCAGACGTGTTTGGGTGTACACTATGAAGACGAAGGTTGAAGTGCTTGGTGTCTTCATTACATGGAAGACACAAATTGAGAACCAGACTGGAAGGAAGATCAAGGTCCTATGAACGGACAATGGTGGAGAATATACAAGCGATCCCTTTCAAGAAGTTTGCCGTAAAAATGGCATTGTTAGGCACTTCACCGTTAGACGGACACCACAACAAAATGGGGTGGCGGAGCGCATGAATCAAATATTGGTGGAGAAAGTTCGATGTATGTTGTCCAATGCTAGTTTAGGCAAGGAGTATTGGGTTGAGGCTGTAACATACGCGCAACACCTCATAAATCGTTTGCCGTCATCTGCAAAAGATGGTAAAACACCGTTGGAGGTTTGGTCGGGGAAACCTGTTGCTGACTATGGATCTTTACATATCTTTGGGTGTCCTACGTTCTATCATGTGAAGGATCCAAAGTTAGATCCAAGAGCGAAAAAGGCTTTGTTCATGGGAATCACAATTGGCGTGAAGAGATATTGTCTTTTGTGTCTTCAGACGAACAAAATTGTGTTTAGCAGGGATGTTACATTTGATGAACGAAGTATGATAAAGACGACGCAAACCCAACAGGTAGAGTTGACACTGAAGCAGGTGGAGATAGATGCGATGACGAGACAACCAACAATGATCAATGAAACAATATCAAACGATTCGTCTAATGATGAAGTTCAGACTCATGAATCATTAGATTTACCCATTGCATTGAGAAAGCCCAGACGAGAGATTCAACAACCTGCTCGATTGGCGGATATGGTGGCTTATGCACTTCCAATTGTTGATGATGACATACCTTTCACTTTTCAAGATGCAATTCGAAGTTTAGAAAATGAGAAGTGGAAGTGGGCTATGGAGGAAGAAATGTTGTCCCTCCAGAAGAATCAAACTTGGAAGGTGACGCAACTACCAAAAGGCAAGAAGGCGATAAGATGCAAGTGGGTATTTGCAAAGAAAGATGGATTTCCTCATAAGAATGATGTGCGCTACAAGGAAAGATTGGTGGCTAAAGGCTACGCTCAGAAGGAAGGAGTTGATTATAATGAAGTGTTTTCTCCAGTCGTTAAGCACTCTTCCATTAGAATTTTGTTGGCCTTAGCAGCACAGTTAGATTTAGAGCTAGCTCAA